AAGTCAAATACAAGTGGGTATTAAGTAGTTCAAGTGTGTATTGGAAATGTGCTCTTTAAAATGTGAAGCATGCTTGAGTCATTGTTGAAACAAGTTTGAATTAGCTTGTTCAAACTTAAGGCTCTCTAAGTTAAGCTTGAAATAAACCAAGTATAGGAACCCATTCAAGCATGAATCACTAAGGTGACATGTGTGGATTACATTAAGGCACACTTTAGGCTAAGACACTAGGATAATTCAAGCATATACAACATATAACTCGAGTGAGTCATAGAAGCATTTTCATGAGTGATGTTTGATTCAAGCATGTGCTCAAACTTGAGACAAGCATGATATAGCCAATGCTCAAAACACTTGCCTTTACTAAAGGCTTAAATATGCATGCGTCATGTATGGAACATGTGTGAATTGACTTATAGTATTAGGAAAATATTTTAGAGGCTAATTCAAGTGAATATTAATCTTAACTCAAATTTGAATTGAATATATTAAGTCCTATATAATGCATAAGGGAAGGCTAATTCATGCATTTGTTCTATCCAAAACAAGCATGAATTAGACTGTTAAGCACAAATGCATTATAAGTGTTTAACAATGAGGTTCTAGGACTTATGAGCCTATGACCTGCTTTAAGGTAATGCATCCTTACAATTCAAAATGTAATTTTTCTCCCAATAGTTTTCACAACAATATCTAAGAGAAGAAATAAGAGAATTAAACATATTAAGTCTAAGTTTTCTCTTATTCTTCACGCTTTTGGAGGTTTTGTCACTTAATAATTATGATATTGACATGTGTAACATCCAAGAAAATTAAGTGTGATTTATTAACCTAATGAGTGTGATTAGTGAATTAATAAGGTGTGTGGTTAAAGGGGCCTAATTAATGTAATTAATTGTGATTTCATCCCTAGAAGTAGGTTCAAATTGATGGCGAGCCACCGGAGCATGGAAAGAGAAAGAAAAGTGAAGGAATGCCCTCTGTGCCACATACCACGACATGTGGTCAATTTGTTGAGGTGCACAAAGGTAGATTTAAAGGCAACAGGCCTCTCTGTGCTATGTGTTGGGGCAGAGGGCACCGTACACCACGGCACATGACAAAAAATATGATAAATTAGTTTTATGTATGTTCAAAAATTCAAAAGAGAGGAGAGGAAGAAAATGTTGAAGCTCTGCTAGGTCATGCATATTAGGACCCTTGAAGGCAATTTTAAGCTTCCTAACACTTAAGGTAAGTGTGATAAGCTTTATTTCTTCCCTTCTCTCCCACATTTACAGAGATTTAAGTTAGGTTTGAGTTCGAAAGTTGATTTTCGATCCATAAGAGTTATGGGTTTGATTCCATTAGATAAAATAGATATAATGGGAGTTGTTTGTGGTAGATAAACCATACCTTGATGATTTTATAAAGAACTTGTTAGGTAGAGCCATTAATATGCAAAAATTGTTATTAATGAGGTAGCTGGGAGAGTTTAACATTCATTATTGGTGGTTTAATGTCATTAGTGGTAATGTGAATCAATGAAATCTAGTAAACCCATTGGGTACGAATGAGTAGTGATTTATAAGATTGATAGAATAGATATGTGGAGTTTGGTATTGGTAAATCCTCAAAAATAAGATAATGATGGTATCTTTGTGTTATGAATGTCGTGAGATTCAATTTAGCACTATTCAAGATAATGAGAAGCTTTGAAAGTTGGTATCCTGAGGGGTAAACCTTTAACCTCTTAAGGGTTTGAGGTAACTAGAGAAAACCTAGTTTATATAGTTGTATGTTAATTTAATAATTGTTAAAATTGATGCTTTGAAACTTGTTTGGAATTAGAAAGTGATAGATGCAATTTTGGCAATGTGGTGGATTATAAGTGAAATTATTTTGAAATATACAAAGCCATTTGCATGAGCCATATATGTGTTTACTGGTAATAGTTCATAATATGCCATTAAGAAAATGATGAAAATGTGTTATCAGCAGTGTTTAATATGAGAAGTATAATTGAGTGAGAAAATGAAATATGTTATGATATGATTGGTGACTAAGTTGCATAATTATGTGATAATGTACATAGCATGATTATTGGCGGGAGTTCGTCTAGAAAGAGGAGTAGTTTGGTTAAATTCACGTGGTACTAGATCGTGTCCTATGTTTGATTCATGACTATCCTACTTCTATAAGGGACTCGAACCTAACTAGTCTCCATCGATTCATAAGAAGGTTAGATTAGGGATATGACACTCTATGGTTGTTTGTATTGGGGAAAACTGGATTACATAAGTGAGTGAGTTGACGTTACCCCAGTAGCTCCTCACAAATGGAAGGCTGAGTTAGTTCGTGAAGAACGTTGCCACATGATAGCCACCGATTTTATGTTGAAGGTAACAAGAGGGTATAAGGTTGGCATTTATTCATGCATTTAAATCTGGCCACATGGTTATTAGTATTGTGGTTTGATAAGTATTAGGGGCGCATTGTTGGTATTATTACGATCTCAGGATGTGCATTGACATTTTATGGATACTAATATGTGCCTTGGGCCTAGTCACATGGTTGTTAGTATTATGAACTGTGTCTAAGGCCATCATATGTATTATGTTTGCGTATTTTTTCCTATTTGCATCTGTTTACAATTGATATGCAACTGTATAGATTAGGTGAAACTTGCTTATTGAGTAGTTGTGCTCACCCCTCAATTCTCAATATTTTTTAGGCCTAGCTCATCAGATCCAATTTAAGGAAAACGTTCTGAGGCATAGGATTATGGTGAAAATCCTACTTTCATGCCTTTACCCTATTTTTGTGTATTAATATTGTATAATTGCCAACTAGATCACATGTTATCATTTTTGTGCTACTTGCATTACTAGTATACAAATTGCGTATTTTGTGCCTTGGGTTAGTGAGTTTTGGTTGTAAACTCATGAATAAGGCTAAAATACTTATGCAAGTAGGAACATGTATATTTTGAATGTTTTGAAATGAAAATGATGGATTTGTGCATGAATTTCCTCCCCCTTGTGTTTTGTGAAAATTGGATTGAGTGGTAAATTTGAGATATATGTGTTTTTGGTTGTGTATGGTTGTGTTGCACAAGTTCGCTGGAGTCTATTGAGTGGGGTCAGAGGGTCGGTGTAAGTTTTTGGCATGTGTGATTGATTTAGGACATCAAAGTTGTGTGTTTTATATGAAAAAGTGGTAAAATGGGTTTTAATATCCAACTTTTTGTAGAAAATGAATTTGAGTGTGAAACTTGTGCCGTTAGCTAGAGGTAGGAAAAAGCTCCATGTAGGCATCAAAACCACCTCAATCGAATGTTAGATGGAGATTTGGGATGCGTCAAAAGTTCACTCCTACTGTTGTCACATGACAGTAACTATTGCTGTAAAATTCATGAAATGCGTTGTGGCGCATGGTGCTTTACGCCGCGGCGCATGGCACAAAGAAGGGTGAGCCATGACGCATATTTCATTTTTTGCTCAAAACATAATTTTGAGCTTTGAAACTCATTGTTTTAGGTCCCATTAACTTCCAAGCTTTCGCATGTTTCCAAACTTTGATTTGAATATTTTAAGTGTGTAATAGAGATTGAAAATTGAATTTTTGGGGATCCCAATATAATGATTTAAGAATTATTCATTTAGATAATTTTACAAACTTAGTAATCTTTTATGGGGTTTAGTCCCTTGATTATCTTGATTTTGAAGTTTATTATGTTTTAATAAGGGAGATCTTACAACATGCACAAGTAAAAAATTCCTTCCTCTTAGTTTTGTAATAATCAAAATATATGGTTCAACAAGTACTTCTCCTATTCACACACACACACAAGACTGGCAAAGGGAAAGGTATATAATGAACTCGATACTCACGTCATTGACCAATTAAGAATAGAGGAGGATAAAAGATGGAGGACGATATAAGGTTTTTGATTTGAAGCTCTCTCTCCTTCTTAGTGAGTGCAAGGCCATAGTAAAATCTAATTAAGACAGGGGTATAATGGTAATTTTATGAGATTAAAAAAAAAGAATCCTCTTTTTTTTTTTTGAATTACAAGGCCACAATAAAACCATGTAAAGAGACTAAGATCTAGTCATATTTAAAACTATAAGATTTTTACATTCGTGCGGTGGTACATCAAAAATCATAATATTAAAAGCATCATGAGGAAGTTGGTGAGCTAAGAGATCAACACATCTGTTTGCTTCTCTATAAATATGATCAAAAGTGACCATCCATTCTTTCATAACAAGATCTCTGATCTTCCTGATATTGGTAGAACAAGGATGACTCTTAGAGTAGGGGCGATTAACGAGTAACAACGCCTCCATCGAATTAGAATAGATATTAACTCTTGATAATTTTGATAATTTCACATTTCAAGAAAGATTTAGTCTCTCAAGTATTCCCATAAGTTCTGCTGCTATGCTAAGTTGATATCCAAAGTACTTAGAAAATCCTTTAATCTAATTTCTCTTATCATCTCAAAAGAATCCTCTTTGGAGCCACGAGATTTCAACTCAAGATCTAGTAAGTGATATATTTGTTCAAATTCTCCTAGGTCAACCCTCTCTCTCTTGCTAATTATGCTCAAGATTAATAAACATGCAATCAACATATTTTATTATTAATTTTTTTATTTACTTAAATTTTATGGGTCATGACAAATGATGGCCACTAAATTAGAGGTCCAGAAGTATTTAGAATTTTAAACTTGTTTTTCTTTAAGTTTTGAAAGTGGTGCAACTTTAGTCCTTATCAAGAATAGAAGTAATTTTAACTATATTCAACTAGAAAATAACAGAAAAACGTTTCAAAAACTACACAAAAGAATAAAAAATTACAAATAAGGATCTCAAAAATTACATAAAAGGGCCAAAAAAAATTATTATTATTATTATTATTATTAATTTTTTTAAATTTTTTATATCTGTTTTCATGTTAACGAAGTTAACTTGAGTCATCGGAAGAAGGAAATATTACATCAAACAGAAGCTTTGTAGTTTAGGGGCCAAATTTGCTTTTGCTGTTTTATCCCGTTAATTAATTAACGTTCTAAGATTTTGGGTTTCATTTCCCCGCCGTCCCTCAATCATCTTCTCTTCTCAATCAGCTGCTGTGATCCGCAAAATTTTGTCACTGAAGTCTGCAAAGGAGCTGGGTTTATGGGAGCCTCTGAGCAGTGAGCATAGCCATTTCTAGCTTCTCTTCTCTTATTGAAATGATGTTCATTCGCCTTCAAACTGCTCAGAAGATCCCACCAATTTTTCTCTCCTCCAAATGTACTCTCTTTCTCTTTCTCCTTCTCCGTGTTTGTTTAGCTTCCTGAGTTCACCCAAGTTTGTTTCCCTTCAGTGATTCCAACTCAAGTCAGGGCTTTTCCGCTTCAAGCTCTCTACTCCACGCACATTGTGGGCGATCAGCCCATTCTCGTGAGTAATCAATTTTCTTTTCAACCTTTTTCACTATGTTTCATTTGTTCCTTCGATTCAAACTAATGCTTAAACTGTGTTAATTCGATCGAGTAGGTTCGGGATTTTATTCATTCTGCCTTGTACCATCCAATACATGGTTATTTCTCCCATAGATCACGTTCTGTTGGAGTTCTTGAGAACAGCATTAAATTTAATCAGCTTGAAGGTGCAGTGGATATTCATTTGCAATTTTGGTTATGTTTTTGATAATTTTCGTTTGGTATATGTTTGAACTTTCATGTTAAATCTTAACCAGCCAATTTTTCAATGGGAAAATTACTCATAAGGACGAAGTTCGGAAACTATTTATTATTAAAGACCTCTAGTGTTCAATGCTTGAACAGACACTTATAAGTTGTTGTTGTCTAAGTGTTAAATTCTTGAATGACCACTTATAAATCATTAAATTGTCATACTCTGAGTGTTAAATACTTGAACTGTGTCCTTAGGAATACTTAGGGCTTGTTTGGAAACCTGTTCTATAAAAAATCTGATTATTATTCTGGAGAACAAAGGAGAATGAAAAAAACACCTATTTTCATTATTTTTTTGTTTTTAGAACATATTCTACAAAACACCAGTTCTCAAAACAATAAAATAAAAACAGTTTCAAATAGCCCCTTAGTTTCTGAATTTTGCCCTTGGTAACAGTGTGGTTAACTGTGATGGTAACTTGTCGCTTGTAAGTAAGGATGATTGTAACATGTTGGTCTTGTGCAGTTGCATGCCATGATCGCCACCTGTCCACCTCCTTCAATGTTCAAAATGAATTTGGAGTTACATTGGTGGTTGTTTATTTAAGTATTGGGATTATATGAAAATTAGAGCTGTTGAAGTTGGAAGCTAGAATTGATAATGTAATTTTAACCGGAATGACTTATACATACATGAACTGGTGACGTGCAGTTGTAGAGAATGCTGTGATTTGATTAATTAAGTGTATTTGCTAGGTGCATGAGATACACCTGCCATGTGAACATGCTCTAGTGCTTTTAGCATCAGAGAGACTTGGACGTTGGTAAAAGTTTTTTTGAAGTATTTTGTTCCCTAAGATGTTATTAAGGACAGCATTGAAAGATAGTAATTAGTAAAATATATAGATTATTGTATGGGGAGAAAAGGAGAAAGAACCTTGTTTCATTGAGTTCAAACTGGAAGTAAGCCTTAAATTGAAATAACTGATGTCAAACAATATTTGTGCTTTCATTTTGCAGATATCTGAGTTTTGCTTGTAAATCTTTATTTTTGTTTTTTGTTTTTAATTACATTAGGGGAGTTTGAACTTGAACACTACCTATGTCTCACCATACTCGTATAACTTGAGCAAGCCTTAGGTGGATTTTGGAGAATTTTTCATCAGCAATTTCCTTTGGATATCTAAAACTATTATGTCATTTGTTTGGGATTGAAGCATGCAAATTACTCAAATTTCACATAGTGTGTGACGAATTCTATTCAAATTTGTGGTTCTTAAATTTCAGAAAACTATTTATTGTCGATAACACTTTTGCAGCAATCTGATCTATTTTCCTAATAGAGTAGACTGATGGCATATTACAGGCCGAACAGGTTACATGAGATGCTTAGATAATATTTACAAGCAGAGTGATGTATCATGGTTTACACCAGTTGAGATTTTTAAGGTATGTTCTCTGTAGCATTAAGGGTTGCAAATTTTATGGAAATAAAATATTATGGATAATTTTATGATTGAAATAATTCTCAGTTTGATAGGGTTGAAACTATGACTATGTCAAAACCAATTACAGGATGAAGAATTTGTTGCAGACCTTTAATAAGTACAGCTTAGTATGATAAAAGTCTATAAGCTCAATGAGTTAAAGCTCTAGATCCTAAAAGATATATCCAGGTTCTAACTTCAAACAATTTCGTTTCACCATAACATGCATCAATAATCTGTTATTGTGTCATATTGCATATTTTACCTTGAACAAATATTTTTTTGACAAGTTTAACTTTAATATTTATATGTATATTTTGATTATTTAATCTTTTTTCAAAGAAAATTTGATGCATCTGTTATCATAATTTATTTAGTTATATTGTAATATTTCACTAGGCATGGTAGTGGAGTCTTCTATATCAGTTGTTCTCTAATTTTCTTAATCATGTTTTAATTTATCCCCTTGGCTCTTTCTGTTTGTGTAATTTTTTTTTATTTTAATATTTATAGCCTTGGTATGCTCATGCAATTGCTGAAGCCATCATGCGCACTGCAAACTTCTCAGTTCCTCTAAAAGTAAGATATAGTTGCTTTGCTACTCACACGCCTAAGAAGCTGTTCTTGACAATAGTGTGCCTAAGGTGCCTAACATTTATTAATGTGATCACTGCTTCATAGTTAAGGTTTATTCCTTTTTACTTTAAATATTGTTTCTGAAAATGCATTTGTTAATATGTATATGCTAATATCTTTGGTTGCTGTTTTTTAATTGCTAAGATTTATGATAAGAACAAAAGGGGAAAATAGTTGAATTTGTGTTGGAAGGTATTTTTAGAGCCAACATCCACCCCTACATTTTTGTTCTATTAATTCATTGACTTGACCTTGCAAAAATATATTTTGTCCATACAAATTTTACTTTTTGGTGGTTTCTTTTAATATTTTAGTGCCCTTATTTGTTTAGTAATGGACAAAAAAATTTTTTTTGCCTTGTATTGTTGTTGTTTGAATGTTCTGTTCGTAAATGAAAATTCTATCTCACAGAAACCTTAGCTTTTAGATGTGTATGCACAACCCTGTTCCAATTCCTAACAAACTTCTTGTGAAGCTTGCTTTGTTTCTTTTATTATCCATTTTCTATTCTTTACTAATATTGCTTACAATTGCAACCAAATGCTACTTTAGATTTTAAAAGTGCTCCTGAAGAGAAGCAGAAAAGAAGTGAAAATCTGGTATTTAAAAATATATTTTAATATCTATCTTAACTATAACCATTTTCTGGGTCAATAGCTTAACCATAATTCAGAAATATTGCTTAATATCTATCTTAACTATAACCCCTTTTTTTGGGTCAATAGCTGACAACAACAAGAAGAAGAAGCCTTTATCCCACTGGGTTTTGGGTCAATAGCTTAACCATAACTAAACCTAATATTAGTTGACTAAATTTTACAAATGCCAAAACTTTTGTATTATACTTGCATAGCTACTATTACCCAGGGGCTTTAGTTTTTGGCCAAAAAAGACCAGGGGCTTTACTTGCAATCTTGTGGGGCAGCTGTCCCCACAAGAATTTTATTTTATTTTTTAACTTAAAAGTACTATATATTATTTGTAATAATTGATAAATTGGTATATTTTCTTTTGAAGGAAGTTAGCTTTAATACTACTAGGGGCTACTGTTACAGTTAAAAGAGCTTTTACTTCCATGAATATTTTCAAGAATTGGATACAAAATCGCTTAGGAGATGAGTGAATGATATTTTGGCTATCTACATAAAGAGGAAAATTTTTTATAATATTGAAAATGCAAAAATCACTTGGTGTTTCTAAAATATGAAAAATTATGTAGAACAATTATGATAGTATATGCATGATGTTAATAATAATATAGTTTATTTTAATGCTTTAGAATTATGTGTGTTGGCCCCACAAGAATTTTCTGGATCCATCACCGTCACTAACCCAAGAGAGTATCTGTATTCTTATTTCAATTGCTAAAATATGAGGCCCCTGCATTGTAATGCTATTTTGCAATTTCACAAATCTGTATTCCATCTCTATAGTGTCAGTTATGTTCTCTTTATCTTCTTCATTATCTCATATTCAATCTACCATTTGTTTAAGTTTTTCTTTATCAGTTATCATTCTACTCATACGTATGTTCTTTACCAGCATGGGTATGCATCACACATTTGATACTAGCAATTTTCATTCAGATATATGAAATTGGTGGAGGATCTGGAACTTGTGCCAAGGGTATACTGGATTACATTATGTTGAATGCTCCTTCGAAAGTGTATAACAGTATGACTTACACGTATGTGCCTCCATATGTATGTTTTTTTTTTTTTTTTTATTTTCCTTCAATGTTTGAGTGAGTTTTTAGTTTTTTTGTAACAATGATATCCTTTGTTATATGTTTATATGTTTTAGGGATCCTAGTTCTCATGGAAAATAGAATTGAAAGTGGTATATAAGGTGGTTTGATGTTTTCAAATCAGTTTGAATCTGAGTATTTTACTTCATACTGAAGAAAAATCAGAGTTGAATGACTGTCTGTTTCATATTATCATTCCATAGAGGTGGGAGTATATAAATACGAATACAAGCTAACAAGTCAAAAGTCCCATAGAATTGGCTAATGAAACTAATTTGAATAAATGATTATAAAAGAAAAATAAATGGAAATGAAAACAGAAAGATACGATAACTTGTTTAGCATGCAAATATCTAATGAAAAGGAAATTAGCATGAGTACAGCCATTCGCCTAGACCTAAACATGTTAAAGTGGATAGACATATCATCAAGAAGAAGATTGAAAGTGGTGTAATATGCCTAATATACATCCCAGCTAGGAAGCAAGTCGTTGTTGTCCTGACCAAAGGATTGCCAAGAGAGAACTTTGATGAATGCATAAGCAAGTTGGACATGATCAATATTTGTGATACAACTTGAAGGGATGTGTGGGAATATCTTGTTTTAATTGAAAATATTCTCCAAGATAGGATTAGTGACTAGGATATGAGTGTATAGCATTTATAAGTATTTATTCTCAGTTTTTTCCTCCCTTCTGTTTAAATACTCTGGTTGTATTGTGATTCAGAATAAAAGAAATATTTTTTCCCTCTCAAATTCCACACTTCGTGTTATTTATAAGAAATTTGTTCGTGTGCCACCCATTTATATATATTGTAGTTGTCAATTAGTTTTTAGAATACCCTATTTATTACCATAGTCATATGAGTTTTACTATAAATTAACGAGTATAGTAAATTTCTTTTAAGTACTTGCCCTTTTTTCTTTTTCACTTTTGAACTGCATGTTTGGCATTCTTATTATAAATGTTTATAATTACAGCTCAGTTGAGATCAGTCCCTCACTTGCTGAGGTGCAAAGAGAAACTGTTGGTCAAGTGCAAAGTCACATATCAAAGTTCAGAGTAGAATATCGTGATGCTGCTGACCAGACTGGATGGGGTGGGACTTCTATTATACTCCTGTCTAAAATATTTGTAAAACAAGTATTTTTTTCGTTCATCTTCAGGGGAATTACTGACAACTACTATAGATGCTGATGTCTGGGGATGTATGGAACAAATAGAGATTCCTGTGGATACAAAGATTAAAAGCAGATTTACTGGGATGTAAGAAATAATGGGAATGGAGGTGATCTTGACTGTCAGCTGATAAATCAAATGTTTCTTGATCTGTGAACCTATTTCAGCACTCCCTTGCAGTTTGATACTCAATATCTACCATTCCTGACTTGCAAGTGACTTATGGATAGCTAGTAGTGGGTAGAACTTCAGTGAGAGCATCTGCTAATTGTTTTTCTGGTGGCATGTATGATGTGATGATCAGCCATGATCAAGTTTGTCCTTTATGAAGCGCCTATCAATCTCAATGGATGCCTGCTTTAATTTAACAATATAATTATAGGCAAATATGATTTGAATGTTGTTTCCATTCTTTTTGGGGATTTTAATATATACAAGAGATAGGAGCCTTGGCATTAATGGCTCATAATTACACAATAATATCCTATTCCTAAGATTAAGTTACAGATTAGAATATCTACATAACCTACTGTCCTTCTCTGAATAATATTCGGTCCAACTTTGTAGGACGTCCCAAATAGGGAATAATTTTATACTTAATCTTCCTGTAACTTGAAATTTATTCTAAATTGTTGCCAAAAAAAAAAAAAAGAAAAAAAGAAAAAAATTATTTTAAATTGAGTCTCTTCTTTTTGCATATCCGTATTGACAACTGCACATCTTGTCAAAAATAAGCATACAACTAATATCTTCTGTCTTCTATTACAGGAGATGTGGAGCAACAACCATGTTGGGTGATAATGCTTGAGGTGTGTTCCAGTTTTTAGTTACTTTTGTTTTCCTTTTTCCCAGAGTTTATGGCAAATAAGATCCCTTCTTATGCATCCAGATTTATGGTCTCGCCTGCCACTATATTTAGGGAAAAAAGTTGCCATGATGAGTTGGTGGCACTTGATACATATATGGTATTTAGGTTTGTCTATCTTTGTCACAGATGCAATTTCAGGGTATATCAAATTATTTAATTGATGTAGGTACTTGATAACCTTCCACATGATCTTATCTATTCTGAAAACCAAGTTTCCTCCTGGAAGGAAGTGTGGGTTGAGAGACAACATGACAGGTAATCCTCAATATGGAAATGTGGATCATGCTGTTGCTCAGTATCCATACAATGTAGTTAAAAGCATTATTAGGGTATAGCTACATAAAGACTTGCCATATTTTCAAAATCTAACTTTATTTGAATGGCTGTGAAATTGTTATGAATTTTTATGGCTTAAATTATTCAACCTACTTAAGAATTAATGCATCACCATCCAATCTTTACCTTCAACAGAGAAACACTGAGTGAGTTGTACAAGCCGTTGAAAGACTCACTTATTGCACGTTGTGTTGAGATCATGGATTTGGACAAGACTTATACAACTCAAAGCAATGAGAGATCTATGGTGAAAAACATTTGGTCTAAACTCTACCCAAAACCCCGTAGATGTTGGCTTCCAACTGGTTGTTTGGTAAGAATCTCTTAATATTGATTAAGTATTTTATAACAGTCGACTTTGTATTTATCATACGTTCAAACTTGCAGAAATTATTTGAAGTTCTGCACGAGATGCTGCCAAAGATGTCTTTAATTGCTTCAGACTTCAGTTATCTGCCAGATGTGACAATACCTGGTCAAAGAGCTCCATTGGTTTCAACCAAAGTATAATCTTGTTATGCCCATTCTTTTCAAACTTACAAACACAACAGTTGTCTGCTTTTTTATCTCATAAACTTAGACTGAAGCATCATTTCATGTTTGGTTTTTGTAATGTAGTAAACTCAATTTATATCGCAATTTAAAATCCTCAATCATCCTCTCTCGTGTAATATTATTGTCCAGGAGTACCCACTCACTTAACCTCCCTCTTTACACCTCATAGTTCTTTGTCATCATCAAAAGTCACTTTGTTTTCCTGTTACAAATGAAACAGAAGCAAGTAAACCTATAACAGTGTTGAACTACTGCTTTTTTCCCTCCCTGTAAAGAGAAAGTATTGAGTTACTGTTTATCATAGTTAACCAAGGTAACCTCTTAATTTGCAGAAAGATGGCAGAAGCTCAGATTATGGGAATTATTTAGAGGCACAGGTGTGATTTAATTGCTAACTAATTTTTTGAGTCCACTTTCCTTGCTATCTTTTTCAATGTCTCACTGTGTGTGTGCAAGCAATGTGACGCATGATAGAATAAGCATTGGAGGTTTTTTTTTTTTTTTTTTGAGACAACGATATTTACTTCTGTTTAACTAATGCATTTGGCATGAAAAATGCTTAAGTACTTGCATTAAGTTAATCATGATTCAATAATTGGAAGTGCTGGCTTAGCAGCTATGACAGCTTGAATTTCAAGCCATCTGTAACTTGTATAATATTTTGTTGGTATGAATTACTTCTCTCTGATCAATCAAATTCTGAAATATTGGCCTCAATATAGATAATAAAATTTATAGAAAGTTGTGTTGTGTAGATCTTGAGATATTATAAATACTTTTGTGGTCGAAGACAAGCCAGAGGAAGGAACCGAATGAATCTTATTCAGTAATATGGTCAGAATACATACACATACCATAACCTTCTATAAAAGGAAAAAAAACAAAAAAGGAAATAAAATCAAATATTACTCCTAATGACCCAATCCTATCAAATCTCTATTTTTATGGGACATATCCCTCTAATTCCTGTAATTATTCTCACACTCCCCCTCAAGTTGGATCATAGATGCTAATCATGTCCAACTTGCTTATACAATTATCAAAAGCGGGTTTGTGTAACCCCTTTGTCAACACATCTGCTGCTTGGAGATTTGTCGGTAGGAAGGCTAGGCATACAATTCCATCTTCCACCTTTTCTCTAATAAAGTGCCTGTCTATCTCCACATGCTTGGACCTCTCATGTTGGATAGGATTCAATGCCATACTTATGGCAGCCTTATTATCACAATATAGTTTGAGAGGCAGATCAAGTTGGACATGTATTTCTTTCAGAACCCTTTTTAGCCATAACTCTTCCATTATGCCTTGAGCAAGAGCTCTCAACTCAGATTCAGCACTGCTTTTGGATACAACTCTCTGCTTTTGACTCTTCCAAGAAACCAGATTTCCCCATACAAATGAGCAATACCCAGAAGTAGATCTCCTGTCTTGGTGATGTCCACCCCAATCTGCATCTGTATACACCTCTATGTTCCTTTGTTCATGTTTTTGAAACAGTAAACCTCGCCCAGGATTTCCTTTTAGGTATCTTAGGATTCTGTATGCAGCTTCCATATGTTTTTCCTTCGGTTCACACGTATACTGACTAGCAACACTCATAGCAAATGCTATGTCAGGTCGTGTGTGAGATAGATAAATAAGTTTCCCAACAAGCCTTTGGTATCTCTCTTTATCCGTTGGCCTCTCTTTCTCTTTATCTTCTTCTTTACCCTCTTCATCTAAATTGCCCTCTTCTTTCTTGGATTCTTGCCTCTTCTTTGGAACAACAATAGGGGTTTCAACAGGTTTACACCCTAGCATACCCGTCTCCTTTAAGAGATCAAGTACATACTTCCTTTGAGACACATAAATACCTTGCTTTGATCTTGCAACCTCCATTCCCAAGAAGTATTTCAGACAACCCAAGTCCTTGACCTTGAATTCTTTTCCAAGAACAGCCTTTATTCTTGCCGCTTCCTCATTATGATCACCAGTGATGATTATATCATCAACGTATACAATAAGGACACACCTCTTGCCCCCTTCTACTTTAACGAACATAGTATGATCCGATAGTGCTTGATTGTAGCCTTGTAGCTTTAGAACTTTTGAGAATCTATCAAACCATGCTCTTGGAGACTGTTTCAACCCATATAATGATTTCTTCAATTTACATACCTGATTCTCCCTTCCTTTATCAAAGCCAGGAGGTAGAGTCATATAAACTTCTTCTTTCAATTCTCCATTTAGGAAGGCATTTTTGACGTCTAGTTGGTGTAACGGCCATTCAAGATTGGCTGCTACGGATAATAATACTCTGATGGTGTTCAATTTTGCCACTGGTGCGAATGTTTCCTGGTAGTCAATGCCATAGGTCTGTGTAAACCCTCTTGCCACCAGTCTAGCCTTCAATTTATCAAGATTTCCATCAGCCTTATATTTAGGGGTAAATACCCACTTGCAACTAACCAGCTTCTTGTTTCTTGGTTTCTGCACAACCTCCCAAGTCTCATTTTCTTCCAAGGCTTTCATTTCTTCCAAGACAGCTTCTCTCCATTCAGACATTTTCAGGGCCTCATGAATGTCCTTAGGGATACAAACACCATCCACATTTGCAATAAAAACCCGATATCCTGGGGATAAGGCTTTATAAGATAGGAACATCTGAATAGGATGTTGTGTACATGATCTTGGCTTCTTCCTGAGAGCAATAGGCACCTCCAAGTCATCTTCTGAACTTTTTGAACCTTCTTCCTCATCAGGATTATCATTCTCATCTTCTTTAGGACTATCTCCCATAGGATCTGTCATCGGTTCTGATTTCGGTACTGCTTCAGGTATGAGAGCTTTTGTACCATGCTTCTTCTTCCGCGTGTAAACTTTGATCTCTTTACCTTCTGCACCTGTGTTCTTATCTCCCCCTGAACTTGCATTTTCTTTTGATTCTGGAATAAAAGAGACAGGCTCAAGTAAAGTGGGATGGTCAAGAGGGTCAAGAGAATCAATAGGTTCAATGGGAGATGGTCATCAATGAAACAAGAGATGAAGGTTGGAAAAGAAGAGCGATGGTGTTTGGCTAATTCACAAATATCGCAATGAAAATTAGAAATTTTATTAGATGAAAAATTTGGAAACAAATGACTCAAATATTGGACATTGGGATGACCCATTCTTTTATGCCATAACAAAAGATCAGCTTGTTCAGAAGTAGTCACAAGGTTGCAGTAGATTCAGGACCATAGATTACTCACGGTTGATTCATCAAGGTAGTAGAGCCCATCACACTCCTCAGCACTGCCAATCATCCTCCCCGATGAGAGATCCTGGAAAATACAGTGAGTAGAGAAGAAGTGAGCACTACATTTGGCTTGTTTAGTTAACTTGCTAATGGATAGTAAATTGCACGCAAGATAGGGAACATAAAGGACAGACTCAAGGTGCAGAAATTTAGAAACAATGATACTACCCTTTCCTGCAATGGGAGAGGATGTACCGTTTGCTGTGTCAATCTTTTCATGGCCACTACAGGGAAAGTATGAGGTAAACAAGGTAGAGTCTGCAGTCATGTGATCTGAGGCTCCGGAGTCAACAATCCACTTTGATTTAGTGGAACATACATTAAATGCAAAATGCGAATTACCTTGCTTAGCAACGGAAGCATTATGAGATGGAGGCGACTGGTTGGATTGTAAACTATGGAGCATCTCTAGAAGCTTATTTAACTGATCCTTGTCGATGATAGGCAAGGTACCCGATTTGTCTGGAGCAGAACCAGATTTGTCTGAAGTAGAATCAGAAGTAGTTTGATAGCCACGAGATTTACCTTTACGTGGTTTCCAATCAGGTGGTTTTCCATGGAGGTCCCAACATTTATCTTTTGAATGGCCTGTCTTTCTGCAATGCTCACAAACAACCTTTCCTCTTGATTCCTTTTGGCCTTGATCCGATTGTCGGCTCACTAAAGCAGACACCTCAGATGAAGGAAGGGTTGATGAAATTCCAGGTAACATCACCTTGCGTCGAGACGCCTCACGACGAACCTCAGCAAATGCATCCCGAGTAGATGGTAGAGGAGAGCGAGCCAGTATGCGACTACGAACATCATCTAATGATTGATGAAGACCAGCCAAAAATTGGAATACTCGCTCATCTTCAATAAGCCTCTTATACCGTGCTGCATCACTCGGACAAGACCACTCGGTTTCTATGTTGAGATCAATCTCTTGCCACACTGAAACTAACTCCAACCAGAATTCCGTAAGATCACGCTCACCTTGTTTGATCTGCCAACTTCGAGTTTTGAGATCATAGATTCGAGCACCATCTTCCCCATCCGAGTAAGACTCCTTGACTGCGTCCCAGATATCCCGTGCTGTCGGGAGAAACATAAAGGACCGTCTGATTTGAGGGGTCATAGAGTTAACCAACCAAGAAGCCACCAGGGAATTGTCGGTCTCCCACTTCACCAAGGCAGCCGAGTCTGACGCGTCTGGTGGTTTGGATGTACCTGAGATAAGACCCAGCTTCCCGCGGCCTCCAACAGCCAGTCGAACACTCTGGGCCCACTCACGATAATTGGTTCCATTGAACTTTTCGGAAACCAGGACAAGGGACGCCCCCTCGGCAGAACTCAACCCGAGAGGAGTTCCGCCATTTGGAGTGATTTTCAAGTCAGCCTCAGCGCCGGAACCCATGAACGCAGAGGGTCGAGTGCGCGAGTCTGACTCTCGATCGGCTCTGTCGTCTTCGTCTGAGTGGTGTTCAGCGTCTGCCTGCTCTGATACCATGTGGTCGAAGACAAGCCAGAGGAAGGAACCGAATGAATCTTATTCAGTAATATGGTCAGAATATATACACGTACCATAACCTTCTATAAAAGGAAAAAAAACAAAAAAGGAAATAAAATCAAATATTACTCCTAATGACCCAATCCTATCAAATCTCTATTTTTATGGGATGTACCCAATCCTATCAAATCTCTATTTTTATGGGACATATCCCTCTAATTCCTGTAATTATTCTCACAACTTTTTTCTTTTTTGTTGCAGGGTGATGCTGATATCTTTTTCCCTACTGACTTTTGGCTGCTGGAACGAATTGATCATTATTGTTCAGGATGGCTTAAACCGGAGGTTGATAATACATCCAAGAAAGGAAAGAAAAGGAGAACCATCACGGTTAGTTAATTGTCTTAAAATTTTGCAATTTTTTTTTTTAATAATACACAAGGAAAGCAGAAACGTGGAAGAGCAATCCTGCCACATTAAATTTCTGCAGTCAGGTGGTGGTTCTGATGTCATTCTTGAGTTTAAGTTTCATGATAACTTCATAGTTTTTTCTCCTTTCAGAAGTGTGATGTTGGCTCACTGTACTGTTGATTAATACACCAATAGGAACATGTTGGCATGGACATGTGATGTAATTTAAGCAAACATCAGGGGATCTGTCATTTACTATAGTTTTTGAATATTTCATCTCTTTTTGTTGCAAGACATTAATATATTCTCACTTTCAATTTATTGACAATCTTATCTGCTCTGTTAAGTAGTTTATATTTAATGCAGCTGGAAACATCATCTTTCATGGAAGAGTTTGGCTTGCCCTCAAAGACGAGGACCAAGGATGGATACAACCCCCTCTTGGATGACTTCAAGAATACCAAATTTTTCCTTAGTGTCCCAACACACAATATTAAGTAGACAGAAAGAACAAATTCTTTTCATTCAAAGGGATGTCCCTGGGAATTCAATTGAGCATGAGCAGATTTTTCTTCTTCGAGAAGTTAATGAGCACCATCAGCTTTCAAAATTTTATTGAGTGGCGTAAACAAATTTTGGCAGAAGGGTGTTGCTATTAGATCACACCTTTTTTCCTTTTTTCTTTTTCTTTCTCCCCAAATGTATCAAAGACGGTTATTTTTGTGATGTCAGAGAATTCTGACTCCCTTGTCTCTCTCTCTGTTTTTTTTTTATTTTCTTTTTCCTCCCCAAATGCATTTAGATGTAATCATTTGTGAAGTCAAGGGATCTAGACTCAAGTAAATTAGACTCAAATAAAATACCAACTGTTATCTGGTTGAACAGAGTAATGGAACCAACCAAGTAGTTCTTGATTAAACTATTCGAGAAAGTTGAATTAGCTTATTATAGAGTTTATATTCAAGTCCTAGGATATGGAATATTTATTTAAATAAATATGTTAGAGGCATTTCTAAGATATTCATAAGGTCATCCTTAGTTATAATGATCTTACACAGTAGTTATTTAGATAAGTCTAAATAGAAGGTAGTAATATTTCAAGTTTTCCACAATATCAAATAATAGAATAATAAAAATAATAATAAAAAGCATCGGATGGCAATTGTTGACTAGAGCATAGCAAGCATGTATGTCTTCAATAGAAAAAGGATAAATCCATTTCTACGGTTAACAAGTTTTTAGCCTTCTGGCAATATCAATGTCCAATGGTTTAGGATATCTAACATTGTTTATATTTTTAATGTTTGATTTCTTTTTGCAATGGTTTATAGTTTATAAATTATGTTGTGATTTGAAGGAAAAATAGTTTATAGTTTGCATAGCTTTGTCAACTCGTATTAATTATTTCACGTTTTAGTTTGATAGATGCGAATTTCACTCAAACATTAGGCCTTTTGTTTGAAAGATTACAATAAGCGAGGCAACAGCGTTAATTAATGTGATAAAACTGGATTTGGTTTTGGAAACCATAATTTCAAACAGTAGTTAATGGGATATATATTTCAAATAAGGATCAAATGATTTTAAAATTTCACTGAAAAGATTAAGAGGCTAAAATGAAATTATATTTAAAAAGAAAAATGGCTAAAATGTATTTTATTATATTTAAAAAAAAAAAAGGCACCAGCCAACACCACTATTAGTCACTGGAGTTTCGATGACCAGATGGCCAATGACAATAGTTGTTGCAGCTCTAGTGTTCATATCCATTGAATCATGTGTTTTGGTAGCTACAAAATCAATGGAAAGGGGTTTGTTATTTGTGCATATCAATATTACACTTATTAAGTAACAAACCTCCAAGAGCATAAGGAACGAGAGAAGATTTAGACTTTATAGGTTTACTTATGTTATGAAAACTATTGAGTACAATCACAATTTGAATGGTAAGAACGCATCCATTAGAACATGTCATAGGCTCATAAAGTCCTAGATCTTCATTGTCAAACAATTAGAATGCATTTGTGTCTCATTATCTAATCTATACTTGTTCTGGTATGAACCAACAAGTGAATCAGCCTATTCTTGTGCATTAATGACTTGGTGAATCCAATTCAAGCTTAAGACTTAAATTCACTTGAATTAGATTCAAGAAGCTTTGCTTAACATTGTAGGTCAATCCACGCTTGACCTAGACTGGACTCAAGGGTGTTTGAGACATTTGTGAAAGCAAGAGTCTTGAGCTTGGCTAGATCAAGCTTAACTTAGGATTGAGTCCATGCTTGAATAAGCCATTGCACTTAGACTTGTTTTTGTGACCTAATTCTTGCTTGAGTTAGTCCACACTTGAATTATCCCATAGTGTCAGCTTGAAATATGTCATAGAGTAATTAATGTAAGATACCCTTATGATTCATGCTTGAATGGGTTCCAACACTTAGTTTCTTTTAAACTTAACTTAGAGAGCCTTAAGCCTAAACAATCTAATTGAAGCTTGTTTCAAAAGTGACTCAAGCATGTTTTGACTTACAAAGAGGTTGTAACACTCTAAAATTTTGAACTTATTTTTCACAAACTAATAAGTTACTAAGCCAATTTAATAATATTGAACATTTAACATGGTAGAAAAAGGACTGCCATGGCAATTAAAGGATAAAACCCCTTTTTAAAAACTCTATCATTGTAGAAAAGAATTCTCCATATAAATAATTCATTTCATAAATAACCTATCATGGTAGAAAAGATACACCAAAATAGAAAGAATTTAACACACTAAATAAATTATACCATAGTAATTAAAATAACATTTGTAGTAATGTATGCCTATTGGAAAGGATTTATCATTATAGAAAGAATTAAATGTAATAAATTTACCTCTATCATGGTAAATAAAATGATAGTAGTATCAAATATAACTATTGGAATTCTATTTCATAAACCAATATTTAAAAACTAATATTTATTTCAAATCATAACCAGCATAGAAGCATGTTATCCCATGGTAGCATAATGCCAAACATATACTAGCAAAACTTATGACCTGCTAATGTGACCCAAGTGTACATTCCAAATGAGATACAATAAATTTTGTTAATCATAATACCTTCCAAACAATAATCTTCTTAAGAATACCTAAAATGAGTTCAAACAATATTCACAATTGTTCAACACTTGACCTCAACCAAAACTAGTTCTAGGATATACATTCGTCCACAACATAATCACATCTACCAACATAAATTAATACATCTTTACTAACTACTCAATATTTCCAAGCAAATTTGACAATATCATCACTATCTCAAAAGTAGTTAGGACCATAAGGGAAAGACAAAATTATCATGGTCTAGCATGCTAATCAAATCTAAGATCGTAAGGGACAAATAAGATCCTCATAGTATAGTATTCATATCAAGTTAAGGACCAAGAAGGACAAAAAAATCCTCTTGGCAAATAAGATGCAATGAATCATAAAATGAGTCTACATGTTCAACAAAATGTATCCATCCTAGGTTGGCAGAATATACCTAGCATAATCAAAATAATAAGGCTAAATCAAGAAATGGTGTCTTATACACCAAGTCACACCTATGGTGCTTCCTAGGCTAAACTCGTTTTTGTAAAAAATAGTAACAATGAGGAATGAGACTTATAAGTCCCAGTAACCATAATTAATATGTATTGATGCATGAAGATATAATTAACCATGCAATTGCCAAGTAGGCATACAAAACATTTATACAAACAAATATTTCCAAACAAACTAAACGAATTTTTAATTGTATAACTACATTTTGTATCCCTCCTTATGCCATGCTTATAAGTCTTGGGCCCTAACTTTTCAAACAAAATATTTGAATGAATAGTTTGGTATGTGTGAGTGGTGATTGTGTTAATCCTTTCCTATATCTGGTGGATATAAGGGAGTGTAACAACAGCTGTTAACTCAAGGTCATACATTAGATAACTCTCCTTGTGAGGTTGCAACTGCCTTGATGCATATGCTGTTACTCGGTCTTCTTGAATCAACACGCATCCCAAACCTTTTAGGGAAGCGTCTATGTAAACCTCATAAGGCAACCATGGATAAAAAATAATCAACATCAGCACCGAGGTTAACTCCTCTTTAAGCTTTGTGAAAGTAGCTTCACACTTTTCATCCTAAATGAAAGGTAAATCCTTTCTTGTTAACCGATTCAAATGGATAAATGTAACATCCTAAATTTCTAATCCTGTATCAATGACTGATTAGAAATGAATTAGTGATTTAATGTGGGATTAGAGTTTTGAGTAATGAAATGTTATATTGATTCACTGGGGTGTTACATGAATGGATATGAGCAGAAGAGTGGAATCCCAAAGCAGAGCGTATGAGCATAGTAAGAATTTCCCTCACTGTACCATGTGCCACAGCGAAGGATAGATGCGTCACGGTGCATGGTGCAGAACTTTGATTAATAAGACGTACCAGCTCATGAAAATAGAAGGGAAAACATGAGAGAAGAGCTTAAACATGGAGAATAGGGAGAGATATGCTAGGTCAAGCAAAATCAAGACCAAGGATGGTGTTTCTGACCTGTTACTTATCGGGTAAGTCACATACTGCCTTAACCTGTGAATTTACCCTGTTTTCACTTAGTTCTAACTAGTGAGAAATTGAATTTGAGAGTTATAAGGAGTTAATTTATTACCTAATAGTAATAGAAAGGTTCTTTGAAACTAAACTAATATTTTGTAACTAGTTGGAGTCGAAACGATAAAGTTTTAAAATTGTAGGCAAGATTTGCCCCAATTTAGAGAGAGTAGTGAGAGAAAATTGCTAGAAAATGTCAAAGCTTGAAATTAGGGGTAATTAGTGGTAACGTGTGTAATCAAGTGTGAAATATGGGTTTGATAACGATTGGGTGTGTTATTTTGATAATTGGCACTTTTTGTCAATGGTGAAATTGACTTCAAATGCCAATTCTGTATAGATTCTAGTGTGTGACAAAGTAGATAAGCAGAAAGAGATTTGAGTATGGAAGTAACAAGGGTAAACCTTTCTATCAAACAGAAGAATTGAGGTAACCATATAGTTTATTATGTTTATTAACTATTATAACTGTATAGAAATGAATATCAAATGATTTATTGTGAATTTATAAGTTTTATGCATGATTGTTATTGAAATGGTTTTAGTATGAACATTGGTTTGTGAAATGAAATTTGAAAAGTTATTGATTTCAATGGATATATATTCATATAGGATATGAAAGTATATATCTTATGAAAATGTGGATAAGTAGTGGAAATTGTGAAAGAACATGATCATATGGGGTGGGAGTTCACCCAGAATATGTAGGGAAGTGTGTGTGTGAAGATATGTGAGTGAAAAATCCTTATGGTCAGGATGACATCATAAGACATCTGGTATAGCATTATACAGGCTATTACTATGGGTAATCTAATACAATATATTATGGGATTATTACCATGGGACATCCAGGTAGTCTAGCAACTCTCTAGTGCCCAATAGGGTACAATTAGGAGTCAACGATGCCTCTATCACAAGTGTGCAAAGAGGGAAACCATCGTCCGTAGGTGGGTTAGATTACCTTTGGCTAGGTGTTTTTACAACTGAAAGTGTGCTCGGGTCAACAAGTGGTTGATCTAGAAGAGCTTATGGTTTCATGTTGGGGAGCTTTAGAGGATTGGTGGATAGTTGATCATGCTAAGATGTAAAAGTCCTTGAGATATTATTTATATGTGAAAA